TTCCAGTCAGCTCCTAGCCTGGCTGTAGCTGTGAATATTGAGTGTTTCTACCATCTCTTCCTAGAGAGGTACTTAATTTGATTTCTGTGTATTCCCTCTGGAGAAGTCTGTGTGTCCTTTTGTGCTACTGAAAAAAAGGTATTTGCAATGAAGAAGAAGTCATTGCTCTTCGTTTGTTTCTACTCCCAAGGCCATATTTTCCAACTGCTCTTTGGTTCTCTGTGTCTCCAACTTTTGCTTTCCAACCACCAGGAATTATCCGTGCATCTTGATGACAGGTTTAATCATCAATTTCAAACTAAAGACTCTGGTAGACATCTTCAAATTCTCTAGCTTTGGTGGTTTGTGGATACACCTGACTAATTGTTATATTGACTGGATTTCCATGAAGGTGGGCAGATATAATCCTAACACAAACAGATAGTTTCTGTTATACTTCCATATAGATCTCGATGTGTCCTTTCTTGAGAAGCGAATGCAACTCCATTCCTCTTGATTGTGTCGTTCCCGCATAAGAAACCAGATGAGTTTCTGATTCAAAATGGCCAATCACAGTCCATTTTAGCTCACGAATACCCAGAATGCCAATTTTTTATGTGTTTCGCTTCATTATTTAACACTTCCAATTTTCCTAGATTCTTACTTCATACATTCCAAATTTCTATTATGAATTGATGCTCGCAGTCGGTTTTTCTCTTTTCAGTCAGGCTTCATCCGCAACGGTCGGTCCCGAAGGCTTGACTTCCGCAGGCTTCCTTTCATCCACGTCCCTGTGGTCGACTCTCCGTTGGGAAAGCAGCCATCCCTCAGGCACAGCTCTAGTGCCTTCCAACTGGAAGGACTCACCTGCTGGCACTGGCGTGGACGGCGTTCTCGGCTTCTTTTCATGCAGACTTCCGTGTACGGCAATGTTTCCAGTCTGTCCATAAGCTTTCAGTGGCCAATTCCCCACAAGTGGACAGACCCCTCATTCTTCAGAGTCTGCTCTTAGCCTGGACACTCTGCTGGAACCTACTGACTTTGGTGGACCCTGCTGGCATGTGACATACTGCTGACATAGGTTCCAACATGACAGCAACACACACCACCACCACCAGAAAACTGACAGACAGATGGTGGACCGCGGGAGACAGCCTACTCAAATTGAGAAAGCATGTTCCATTGGGAACTCTAGTCGTTTGAAATACCTGTGACTACACAGAGTTATAGTTCTCATTTCCTAAACTCGCTCAGGGATGCCAGCACAGGGAAACAGGAAATAAGTGACTGTAATCAAGTCTTTGTTTGAGGATCCACTCTGCATTAACAGCAGACTCTTCCTCTTGTCACTCAGCATCATTAGCATGCCACTTAGCATGATCTAAGTCAACTCACACCATCCTGTCAGTAGCTTGGCGAAATCAAGAATTGAATTACACAATGTATTTTGAAGCTCACTATGAATGAATATTGGTTGATTTTTAAGACATATTTCACTGCTTTCTGACATTAATGTGGCTAATGGTACTTATCAACATATTCACTTGAGGTTGACAGTGTTAAGACTACTTGTAAATCATTTTACCTGAGACTTAGAATACATTTTCCAATGGAAATGGCATTATAAACTATACCACACCTACAGGCCAGTTCAAAATCAAGTCCTTGTTGTGTGTGAAATATTTATTGCACATTAAGCTTTCTGGCGCAGAGTGAAGTAACAACAGTTGAAACAGATCATGCCCAAGCATGTGCCAATAAGACTGGGAGGGTGTCTCAGAAATGCCCACCTCAATCCTGGAAGGATGGGCCATCTCCCTCCCCAAGGTCAGGCAAAGGGAGCATCACGTCCCGAATCTGGAAGGCCACAGAATTTTTAGGTTGGTGAGAAGGAAGACAGGGTTGCCAACAATGAGAGGTGAGTGCTTTCCTTTTGCTTTTAATTACCCTCCTTTCTCTATTTTGCATCGCTGCCTGTGTGATCCTGAAAATTTTACTTCCCCTGAGCCTTGGTTTCTTCCTGAACTTATGGGGTATTAGAAAAACTAAACTGCTGGACCACAGTCAGGGTTCGAGATGACAAAGGCACCTAAACTCCCTGTATAATGAGTGGCACCTGCCAGGCAGGCATTCTATGAAGGGGGTTCAGAGTGCTGAACCTGGAGAGGTAGACCCAACACTATTTTACAACCATAATCATAATTACTGTGTTCTGTTCTTCTCATCATTGCTTCTGGACTGTTAGCCAGTTTTACCAATGGGCTGACTCTGGAGATTGAAACTGCCTTTTGTTTCCCATTGCGGCCTCACACACGCTGTATTGTGTCTTTCTTCTCTTAGTCTTTGTGACATCTCAAGTGTATTCCACAGGTTTGATTCCTGATCAGGGATCCAAATATATATATATCATTTCACCTATTACACATCATTTCAGCTATTAAAAAACAGTACCAAGAACTTAAAAAAGTCCTAGACAATTAAGAAATAAAAATTTCTGCTTTAGAGGTGAAAGTTAGTGCTGGCTTCCATAAGCTTACGCCAAGCTCATGACCCAAGGACCTGAAGGGGTGGTGTTCTGTGTTCGCACTGCTTCACTTTCCTAACACCTTGACAGATAGTACCTGGAGAAGAAATGGAAGAAAATGGAGCCGAGGAAGTTTCTTTGTTTAAAAGAAGAGATGGTGTTTGGACTTCTCTCAGATATTGGGCAGACATGATGTCATGGGAGATATGAAAACCCAAGAGTTAAATTTTTTAGTTCTTCAAATGCTTCCATGGCTCTATGGCATTGTTATTTTCTGACTTTTAGCTAGTTCTCTGCCTCAACGTATGAACTACAGTACCTGTGGGACACCCAACCCTTGAACCATGTCACTATAGTTTGAGGTTCCTTTGAGATCTGCTTCATCAAATTGCTGATGTATTCATCACTTGAGCTGGGGGCTGTTGGGCCCTGTCATCTGGCTGACTGTGGGTGGCCTGCCCTGCTGTTTGCTGCCTGTGGCCAAACTGCCTGTCTGCTTCCTTGACTTGCACCCAGCATCCCTTGTCAGTTGAAGGACCACCAGTGTATTGACTGTCTCAGGGAAGTGAGTTAGACTGAGCCATTTGTACTGCTCTGTGCACTAATTAGCTATTTATTCCTTCGTGTCCGTTCTATCTATCTATCTATCTATCTATCTATCTATCTATCTATATAAAATCATAAGTGTCCTGGTTTTGTTTCTCTAGAGAACCCTGTCTAACATATATAGTAATGAAAATAATAATTGGAGTGAAAAAACACATTTTCAAGATTTGGGAGAGATGAGTATGCATGCACGCATCAGAGAAGAGAGCAGAACACACCAAGAAACTGGGATTAAAAGGTTGATCCTGAGAGTCTCCGTCCAATGAATGAAATGACTCACAATAGTTATCTGGAGTGTGTTTCATTTAGGCTAAACATTCAACTTTCCCTTTCTTAGAATTAACAACCACCTGGTGCTGTCTTCGATGAACTGAAGTATGAGCTGTCTATGTGTTTTGGAAGAGCACGGACACACAGATCAAGACTACTTCCGTCTTCTCAAACCTTCAAACACATCACCTAATCCCCTTATGCCATTCTTAGATGTCAGTAAGACCCCAAAGAAGATGCCAATATGACTTGATCTATATCACAATTTTCCTATGGGGACTAATCTCTGTAGAAAAAAACATGGGGTGGGGATGGAAGGTGGTCAATTGCTGCGGTTGACCAGTTAGTCAAATGAGACCTTAATGGTCACAAGTTCGTCACTAAAAAGTGAGGCCAACATGCAGGATGATATAGTAATTGCCATGTAATTGCCAACACAATTCATAATTTAGTTTTAGATTACTTTTCTTTCGTTTGGGTGATATAATCAGGGTGCTAATACATAGCCTGCGATTTCTATTTTAATATAGACAATTGCCCAAGAAAGAGTAGTCACTGGTAAGGAACATTTGGAAACTGAGCAGCAATTTGAAGTGTAAGATGGATCAAGTTATTGGAAACATTATTTAAAAAGAGAGATGACTACTACCCTCTACCTTTTTTCCCCCCATGTCAGTTGTGCTGCTGCTAAACTGTTATCAATTGTGATGCAGGCCAATGCAATTTACTTTAAATTCTGTACCAGGGAGAGAAGAGAAAAGCAAAGGGGATGGTGTGTCCTGTACACTGAGTATAGTCACCTGTGAAGTAAATGAAGTTCTTCCTGAATTACTCCAACTGCCTGCACCTTACTGATAACTATACGATGTTTACTGTAATTCCACTCTTTACCTTGGGGGAAGAAATTGTTTATATTATATCACCTCCGTGTTATCAGTTTTCTCTTATGGCGCTGTTATGGATTGAATTGTGTCCCCCAGAGTCTGTGTTGTAAAAGCAAATACCTTTGCCTGTATTTCCCACCACTTGCCGGTCAGTTGATTATCCTGTGGTGGCTTGCATGTGGCTGGGATGCTAGAAGCCATTAGGATTGCCAATATCAGAAAGGTACTCATAGTGGACAGACAGGTTTCAGGGGAGCTTACCAACAATCACAATGAAGAAGAAACAAACAGACAACTGTTGACTGTTGAAAAATTCGCTGTTGAAACTCTTAAAAATAGCAGTGTTTCACTGTCAGATAGAGGGTAGAAGATAAACCCCTCGAGGTTGAAAGCCACTAAAATATGACTGTATTGTAGCTTGGACCTCACGACAGAGTTGGCCTTAATGACATGAATAGAGTAAAGCTTTCCGGGCCCTGACTTGCTGATGTGGCACATCGAAAAATGAGAAAAACAACAAGCGTTCATGAGTAATTAAGCTGTGGAGTGTGAAGTACGACACTTGGAAATTTGGAGGTTGCCGGAATGAAATAGAAAACATAAAGATTGACATCCTAGGTAATAGTGAACTGACACGGACTGTTTCCGCCATTTTTGAATCAGATAATGATGTGGCTTCCTCTGCCAGAAAGGACTAATGGAAGAAGAATGGCATCGCATTTCAACGACTCCTTGGAGTGCCCTTTGAAGTTTGCTGCGGCGCTTTAAGAGGCTAATGCAGAAGGGTGTATGTGTCTCCATAAAACTCAGAGAAGAGATCAGATACCTCTTCTTTGGATCCTGCCTGGAGTCTTAACGGAAATAAAGAGTCTATCTTACAATGCTGTTAGTGATGGGATAGGTTAGTCAATATGACTATTATTTAATGGCTGCACCCATCATGAAAGCCAATAATGGGAAAAAATGGACGAATCTTACAAGTACTGCCATCTGAAATTCATCAGATATGTAATCAAGATGCACTTACTGGTGATTGGAAAGCAAGAATTAAAAATAAGGAAGGATCCGTTTGTTGGGAAATCTAGCCCTTGTGTTAAAAACAAAGATGGAGATTGCATGACAGAATTTTGCAAGGCCAATCACTTCTTCATTGCGAATACCTTTTTCAACAACATAAATTGTTGTAATATCCACGGACCTCACCATAGGGAATACACAGGAATCAAATGTATTACATGTTTGGAAAGAGACTATGAAAGAGCTCGATGTCCTCAGTCAAAATCAGACCCTGGGCCAACTACGGATCATATAACCAGTTGCTTACACGCACGTTCAAGTTTAACAGGAAGATAATTAAAATAAATCCATGAGAGCAAAAATAGGGCCCTGAGTACATCACACGGGTTTAGAGTGCATACCAAGAACAGATCTGAAAAGATGAACACCTCCAGCTTAAGACTAGAGGAACTGAGGGATGACATAAAGCACATCACACAGGAAGAAAGCTAAGCTAACGTGTCCCCTATATCTTTATATAAGAAACAAAGAAAAGACCAAAATGGATGTGTGAAGTTTTTGATCACAGTGGCAGAAAAAAAATGAAGTAAAAGAGCTGAACAGAACCCTTCAACAGGCATCTCAAGAAGAAAAAGTACAGAATGATCATGAAATGTAGGCAGAGTTGGTTAGAAAACTAGAAGCAAAGAACTTACTCAGTGTTTTGCAAGTTGAAAGAATCAAAAATAATATTCAAGCTTTGGGTCGAAATACTGAAGGATTCTATAGGTAGAGTGCTGACTGACTCAGGAGTAATCAAAAGAAGATGGAAAGAACAGGTCAGCATTTAACCATTTCATGAAGTAGCACATGATCAAGAACCTCTGCTATTAAAGACAGAAGCCAAAGCTACACTGGGCACATTAGTGAAAAACAGGATTCCAGGATTTGACTGAACACCAAATGAAGTGTTTTAATAAACTCCATCAGTTTATTTCTGACTTGTCAGTTTATTTTAATTTTGACTTGTCTATGTTGAAAAAATGGAAAGAAAGCTACCTAGCCAACTAACTGGAGGAGTTACATATCTGTGCCTATTTCAAACAAACATGACCCAACGAAACCAAAAATTAATATCACCAATATAACATGCAAGTAAAACTATTTCTAAAATGGTTGCAGCAGTACATTGACAAGGATATGCCCACAATTCAAGGTGGATTCAAAGAGGAAAGGGTACAAGGAAAATCACTGCTCACTACAGATGGATCTTGGCAGAAAGCAGAACATACTAGGGGACTGTTTACTTGTGTTTCATTGACTATGCAAAGACATTCAACTGTGTGGGTCATAACAAATAATGGAGAACGTTATTCAGAATGGGAATTGCAGACAACATAATGATGCTTACGGGAATCTGTATCAAGAGGCAGCGCTGAAAGCTATGTGTCAGGGACATATCCTGTCGTTATACTTATTCAATCTGGATGCTCGGTAAACAATCAGAAGCTGAACTACTGAAGAAGCGAGGAGGGCTTGAAACAATTACTGTACTTGCATCTGGAGTGCAACTCAATGTAAAGAACACACAATCCTCACAACTGAACCAACAGGCAACGTCATAATACACGGAGAAGAGATGGAGGTTGTCAAGGATTTCATTTCATTTGGATCCACCCTGAAAGCTCGTGAAAAGGGCAGTCCGGGAGTTGAATGGCACACTACATTGGGTGGTTTTGCTGCAAAATATCTCTTTAAAACGTTAAAGAGCAAAGACATCGGTTTGAGGAATAAGGCACACATGATCCGGGCCACGGTATTTTCATTTACCTCCTGAGTATTCGGGAGCTGGACAGTGACTAAGAAGTACCGGAGAAGAACTGATGCGTGTGATTCACGTTGTAGGTGAGAACAGTGGAACTTCCACGGAGCCAGCTCAAGGGCACTGCCAACAGCATGCTTGACAGCAGCTTCAGAACAGCATGCGAGTGAGTCGGACACCCTTGGCAAATTATCTTCGTTACAACAATGAAATTGGATTAATGCAGTGTGTCTTGCACAATGGAGAGTGAAGAGAGAGGAAACCTCCCCCAGGGGCTGGGACTCATCACTTCCTAAACTTTGAGCAAAAGCCCTGGGGGATTGGCTACTAAGGACAAGATTGGTGGTTGGAAGCCACCAAGAATTCTGTTAAGATTCTTGTGAAGATCTCCAACCTTGGAATTCCTGTGTAGGATGGCTATCAGTGGGAATTCTGTCAATGGCAGTGGGTTTGGTATTTTGGAAGCTATGAGAAAATTAGTTTCTGTATGTTCAAGCCACCCATTTGCATTATTTTTGCATAGCAGAGCGAGAGCTAAGGCAATTGCTACGGAAACACTTTCCTCTGAGCGGCTGTGTGTGTGTTTATCAATACACAGAATCTGTCAACTTGGACATATGCAACAAATAGTGGCAGTAATAGCCCCAAGCATAGAAACTGTTACGATGGTGATGCAAGACCAGGCCGTGTGGATTTCTGTTGTCTAGAGAGTAGGTAAGTTGGAAGCTAACTGCTGACAAACATACATGTGTATTGGAGGAGCCCTTGGAAGAGTGGGTTAAGCACTGGGCTGCAAGCTGAAAGGGCAGTGGATCCAACCCCCTAAAGACTCTGTGGGAGTAAATGAGACCATCAATGTCCACTCTGTTACGCGGAATCATTAGGAGATGGAATTGACGACACTGTAGTGTGTTGGGTTTTTGTTTTGGTTATGGAGGGAACTTCAAACATTCTCGGCAAATGGAATTGAAAGGGAAAACCCTTTTCCAGGAATTTTTTGAAGCTCCCCTGAATGTTCTAATGCTAACACAAAACTGCAAATTGATATCCATGGTCTTCTGAATTCCTTCACACAGAGTGAGCACGTGGTAACTGGTTCTCCGTGAGATGGGACAGTGTTGGATTCGTTCTGCATGAATCATTGGTTTAACCAGAAACCATTCAGCAATTTCTCCCTCTGTTACTTATGGTTTTCGGCGACTGAGCAGATTTCTGTGATTCTCAGCATTTGTTAGAGTGAAATACTTTACTCTTTCTGTCCTAGTTGTATACTTATTTCCAAGGACAGGAATAAAACTGACAGTTTTCATTGTTAAGTTACTGCTCCTATAAATTTTGTGGTAGGAGATAAGATATTTAGAACCAATTTTCCAATTAATTTATATTCTGAATAAGTGATACCAGATCATTTTTCTTTGACATCAATATCACATATAGGTTTGTGTTTTAAGGTTCACTATTCTATAATTATGCAGGGTTTCCCCCCCCAAAAGTTTTCTACATAAACGCTATTTTGAATAAAAGAAATAGTCCACTTTAAAATGTGTTGCAAAAAGAAAATATTAAGATACATTACAAGATTCGGATCAAACATCATTAAGATAATCCCTTAGCAACATAATCACTGGCCTCGGCCTGGGATTTATCCTCCCGGAATCTGCACAGAAGAGCCTTTCAGAGGAGAGGAGTCCTGTGGAAACAAGACATTCTCACACGGTGCAAAGCTCTGCACAAAAACATTTCAGAACATTTTCTTCTCTTTTTCTGCTACTCAAAAATTAGTTCATATATTTTCCTGCTAAATAAAGAGAGGAGCAAGACAATTATAATAATAAAAATAAACCTTGAAATTATCTTTTGAAGTTCTGTGGAAAATGGCCTAGGAAAATAAATTCAGTGTTAAAACAAATTTTCACAAGAGGATAGTTTAATTATGATTACCACAAGGATGGTCCCATTGTGAATATTACTTTTAAAAATTAATATTTAACATCATGGGGAAATGATCTTAAAAGAAATAGACTAATTTCTAATAACAGGTTTCTAAAACTGCATGTGCAATAGCATTCCTTTAATATAGTGAAAGAATATTCTATAAAATATTAACAGGGATAATTTGTGGGTGTTGATATTAATAGTGATTTTTTTCATACTTGTTAGTATTTCCTTTTTTTTTTTTTTAAGACTGTATCAGTTAGTAGTGCTTTTGGCTGTAGTAACAGAAAACCTGACTAACAGTAACAAAAATTATTCTGTGTGTATTTTGTTATACTTGTTACAAATTAAGAAATTTGAACCGGGTAGTTTTTAACATTCCTTAACCTGCTTAATGTTCTTTGTGTGTTTTTTTGCCCCTTTAAATTTCCCTTGTTAGCTTCATCACTTTCCCCAGTGGTCAGATGTTTTTGCTGCAATGACCACCGCTATTTTCAATGTGGGAAATGGGGCCCTCGGAAGTGTTAGTTATATCTGTCCAATTAAGTGTTTTCCTGCAGCGTTTTTCTCGGGAATGACCTCCAGATTCATTTTTCTATTTACATCTCATATGCTAGATCTGGATTACAAACATCTATCCCGGAAATACACACAGTGAAAACATGAAGTTCCCATTGTCATTACATGTTAGTCAATGTTGACTGGGAGCGATCTTACTGGGGTTTCTAGACGGTAATCTTCAAGGGAACAGATCTTTCTTCCAGGATCTGCTGAGTGAGTTTAAATCAGTCTTTAGGTTAGCAGCAAAAAGTGTAACTATTGGAACTACCAGGGAGTGTAGGGAAAAAACGTTAATTGCTCTCTTCAAGTCAAATCTTATTCACAGGGACCCTACAGAATAGGGAGTAGCCTCCATAGAAGCAGAGGGCCACCCCATAGGATGACTGGAGATACAGAATTGCCGACTTCATGGTTAGAAGCCAAGTGCTAATCACTGCACCACAAGGGCTTATCAGAGAAACAACAACACAATTAAAATGATATAACTGGATTAGATAATTTGTAAACAATTGTCTAGAGATACACAGCAGTACATCTGCAGGGA